CTCCATAAATACTATTCCAAAATTTTAAAGAGGAAAGGAGAATCTCTCTCAAGATTGTAGATTTTATGTATAATCATTGCACAGTGTATAATCAAAATTCAAGGTGATAGATTCCACATTGACAACAAGATCATTACTATTAGGGTGTGTCTATCTACATAAATAAAGACTTTAAAACACCTACAATATGGCGCTTGCATTGAAAACAAAATCATTACATGGTTAGAATCTTTATGAAGGTGGCAGAACGATGGATTGAGGTTTGATTTTGATACTTTTTTTTGAATCTTCTGTTTGGGAATCAGTATGGATCAAATTAATTTGCAAACTAAATTCACTTTGCTGATGAAAAAATCCATTATCTTTTAGGAAATTTAAATGAAAATAACATAAATCAAGTAAAAAATCTGGGGACCAAAGAAAATTTTAACCCAAATTTTTCCATATGCATATGAACTGCTATAACCTTCCAGATTTCCTGCTTATCTGACAGGGCATGAAACACTCATACAAGCTTCAGTTCTCCTCCATCCCTTCCCTTCCCACACATGCACAGGAGAGCATACATCTGCAATAGCAAGTTCTACAAAATATTTCAATTTTTAAATACCCTAAAATGAAACTGGCTGAAGAAGAAAGAAAACAAAAAACCCTACACAAAACAAATAGAAAAAAGCCCTCAAGAAAACCCCCAAAGAAACAAAAAAAACCATTAAGTTGATTTATATTTACTGCAGTAGCCTTAAATTAAAAAGTATTTAACATTCCAAACACATGCAGAATTATTTGCACATTCATTTATTAATATTTATTACTGGCAGTACTTTGCTTTGTTGAAAAAGGAAAGTCATTAGCATGATAATTTGGTTTCTTTATATCTACAAAAAAGGAAGATGAACTGTAGAAGCATCATTTTGAATTCTTTCATCCACTGACAGACTTACCTTTTCTGTGGCCTATGAAGATTTTTTAATGTGATATGACTGCTGAGAACAACTTTCCTCTAATAAATTTGATTTATTTAAGAAACATAAAATGGATAGAAAATTTACAACTCAGAGATAAAAAGAAAGCAATTGCTAAGTATTAACAGAAGAAAGCACCGAATCCTTCTAAAGAGCATAAAGGCTGGATGTAAATGTAAAACAAATCCTACAACTCTGCCCCATGTACCTATGTATTTTATGTGGTAAACTTAACACTGAAAAGACATTCTAAATTAAATCAAGATCTTGAATTTGTTTTATTTTGCACTTAGCTGTTAGCTACAACAATAAGACCACTATTCTGCTAGAGTAAGTTGTGTCTTTCTGATGCTATATGAGTAGAGGATATTTCATGTCACATATGTTCAAGGTGGGCTTTGTGGTACATAAGAGCAGCTTGCTTTCTTAACACATTCATGAAATTGCTCTCAATGCAATTTTTAAAAGAGCTCTACAAGTATAAAAAGAGATACATCATCTGTATTTTTCCTCATGTTATTAATATATTTATTTTCTGAACCTTAAGTCTACTAACCAATTCATACTTCTCTATGAATTTAAGAGACATCTGAACACCTGGATGCAGAAATATCATTGGATAAGGAAGGGACTTTTAGAAAGCAAAGTTTAGTGTTATTTTTCAAGTATTCTCTATTAATAAAGAACATTAGGACACAACCATAAATTTCTACTTGCATCTTTCTTTAATGTTTACAATTGAAAATTATGTGCATATGTACTCTATTTTTTAATCTTAAAATAAAATATTTTTTAAAAAAATTCTTTGAAAGCAAATTTGAAATTGTAAAAGACTCAAGCCATAATGTATTTGAAAACTTGCATTTTAGGTAAGTAGCAGACATACAACCCAAGACAGTCATGACTGCAGATATGTGATTATCCCTCTCTGTTAGGGAAAAGAATCAAAATTAAGAAGCTTTTCCCTGTTACTTATGAAATGTTTTCCTCTTTCTTTCTGATAACTAGTTTTTCTCACATTCTCTTCTCAGAAGTCAGGCATTAAAATGGCTGAGAAATAAAGGTTCTATCATTTGCTATTCTATTTGTTTTCTGCTATAGTGACAATAGTTTTTCTTAGAGGCTGAAAGAGCACCAGAGGAAGAACTGGACCCTTAGCAATTTAAATGAAATAAAGATGCTGAATAAGCAGGACAGCATTGTTTCTGGCTTTTAAAAATCATTTCACACAAGCATCTATTCTTCTTCAGCCTATTTCCTAGAATCTTTAGTAAAAGGCTACACTAAGCAAAAATAGTACTTTTGAAATAACTAATACAGCTCAACACTAAGATTTTTACTCCTCTTTTCTTAGAATTACATAGAGAGATGGTTGTTTTCCTTTTTTTTTTGTTCTCAGAATTTTAACTTTGACTTCCTGCATGTTTCTATTGGACTCTTAATGCAAAGAAGCATTAAGAATCCCACCTTGATTTTTTACAAGTTAATAATGCTCTTGCATTTGTGGTTTGCTCTTACGTTCTTTTCTAGAGAAATGAGAAGTAAGGCTAAGGCAAAGAATGAGTCACACTTGGGAGTAATCTTTGGATATTTTGGTCATTCTCATCTTTTCGTCCATTAAAAGGGAAAAAATATACAAATCCAGAAGTACTTCATACCATTGAAAATGCTTTAGGTAAACCAAACCCAGATTTTAGATTAGTTCTAATGTAAACTGTTACTGACAAATATGCATTATTTGTGCAAATGTTTTAGAAAATGATTGATGCTATTTGTAGTGCATTTTGATCCCAATCCTAGCAAACTAAACTCTTGAATTTCAGTTAAACTTTTGACCAAAGAGACACCCTTAAATGAGAGTCAATTGAGCAGGCATAGTAACTACTCAGAAAAAGGACTGACTTGCCAACAGTGACAGAGTGGTTAAACTGAAATAATTGATAAGATGTATACCAACAATTCTCTTAAATCCTCAATAAAGAAGCCCAGGAGTCAACAGGCTAACAAAAGTCTTTATCTTATACCTCACTTATACCCCTTTGGCAAAGTAAGGTTTTCCAAAGCATTAGCAATTTAAAATAGGAGGGAATCAAAGCTGAGCTCAGCTGGAGGACAAAATTCTGGCTTCCATTTGGTTTATACTTTCTTTGTTGGCTGTTTTTCTGCAGTTCATAAAAATAGTATCATAGTAGTTTGTATTACCAAATCAAATAAGAATCGCATAACAGGGCTCTTTGATCTGGGTGTAAAATATAGTGTTCATAAGATTTCAACACAAATACTATGTGAAATGATATGGAAGACCTTGAAGAAAAAGCATCTCCGCTTTACTTCATAGTAAATCTTTAATTCCTAGTGGTGACACCTTTTAAATTAGTAGTGATGGAAATTTATGATACCCAAAAGCTTTTATATAGCACTAAGATTATTAAGCAGTATTTTGCTATCATACTTAAGGCTTCCTTTCAATTCCTGTTCCTGAATCTCTCCTGTAACAGGACAGATTTGCTTCAAACAAAAAAATTACTTTAGATAATCTGAATGGGTACTGAAGGTCACAAAAATTTTGAAATTTTATTAACACTCTCAGGCACATGGTGTGATTCTTGGAATGTTCTGCATAGGGCTGACAGTTTGACTCAATGATCCTAATGGGATCCCTCCCAACTCAGCATATTCTATGATTATAAATATTAGACAGTATTAACATTTTTATCAAATACATAAATTGTCTATTTTCAAATGTTATTACTTTGTGTGGTTTCCAAAAAAGCACCATTGAACTACAATATTTAGCTAAAACAAGACTTAGAAATTTTCTGGTGCAATTTAGTTGAAGATTCATAATTTAAGAATAAAATGCAGAAATTTGTAGTTCTTTAATATTTACTTGTTTCATTTGGAATGCTTTTAGTTTCCACTTATTTTTTGAATATTGATTCAAAGAAGTAAAAAATTTCCTTTTCAGAGCCCGTAAGAGGTGAAACTATTATCTTTATTACTTTATTGCAGGTGACACCCTTTATTTTAATCCCTGTCTCCAAATGCTCCAGAAACACCTTTTTAAAAAGAAAACTATCTATAAAATGTCCCATTTCCCCACTACTTCAGATTTTTTTTACAAAATCAAACCAGTGAAGCTAGCTTGTCTTGCAAAAAGCTGTTTTCAACACTAGCCAAAACTAATTCTAAATGTATTCATGTATTTGCTCAGCTATGAAAAGTTTCAGACATGCAAATGAATCCTTAGATAATCCTGTAACAAGTGATGAATTTCCTGTTTAATTAGCAAAACCCTAGCCTAGAATTGGGTGCAGGCATTCTACCATAATAGATTATCTAGGAAAACACAACAAAACCAGAAAAAAATCCATTTCAAGACATGTTAAGTGAAATGATTAAACATAGCTTCTGCTACTCATACTTTCCTGTTGAATCCAAAGAATAATTATTTAATACAGTTTTTAAACTGCAAATACAATTTGTATTGTTATTGATATTTCTATTGTTACCAATAAGCAAACTAGGAAATTTACACTGCTATCATATAAACACCTTTTGAAAAGAAAAGCATTTTTTTACTTACTCTTTATAGCAGACACAGAAATTTAAGTTACTGTTATTGAATATACTTTTAAAATAAGTATAGAAAACAGTTGCAATCTACATCTCAATGATAATTTGGATGGAACCAATTTATATAATGAAAACTAGAGATAAAAGGCTTTCAAGAACAAGTGAGTATTTCCACAGGGACATAAAATATCCTCAAAAAAATCAGTTAAATGATTTTTGGTTCCTTGTATATTTATGGTACTGAAATATTTTGAAAACACATTAAAACTAACGAACTTTAAGAGAACAGCAGTATCAAACAAGGTATAATGTTTAGCCAAATGCCTGCTGCTGCTCTTGCAACATTTCATATTTCAACATTATAGTCTGGTTTAAAGACTTGAAAGAAATGAAGTGGTAGAGAGCTGCCCACACAGCCCATAACACTTGTAGTATCAGAATACATTTCAAGTTTCTCACCTTGTCAATCATTTTACGGGCTTCCATTTCTTCAGGATTGGGATTTTCCAACTCAATAGTGTAAGTACCTTTGTCACTCTGGTCATCCTCATTGTCCTTTTCACTAGCAGCAGAAATGTGTTGGCTCTTCAACTTTTTGTCCATCTCCTGGTTCTGATTAGGCCTATGGCCAAGGCTTCCTGAACTCCTTAACAATGCAGCTTGTAAGGCAGGTAATGCAGCAGAGGGTTCTTCTGATTTCTGGTTTAGAAGTTTGGCATGAACACCATGTACTGCTCTGTGATATGATGAGCCAGCTTGCACAGGTGAAGGGACTTTCTCTCCTGATGCAGGTTTCACTCTTTCAGCTCGTGTGTGAGATGTGGGAGATGGAGAATCTGGGCATAGAGCTCCTACATTCTGAGAAAAAGAGTAAGAACGTCTCTTGCGAGGATGGTCTTCATCAAAAAACTCAATCATAAAGGCAGTCTGACTCATACCAGCTTGATCTTGCTGCTTTTCTGTTGAATGAACTTTCTGGTGTGACTTTTTCAGCTCTGCATGATGATGCCTTAAGTGCTCTTCAAGTGCTGCCCGTTTACTGTAATGCCGGTGTGCACCAATATTTTCTGAATCACTTTGTGTGCCATCATCATGCTTATTCCCTACAAGCAAAGCAAAACAATGCATAGCACAGTGAAACAAAGAAAGACTCCAACATAACAGACAAAAAAAAAAGCAGCAAACTAGGAATGAAAATTATTTCAAATCGGATTTCTGTTTAAACTTCAACAGCTTACAGTACTTGGCTCTTCAAATTTGGTACAGCTCCTGGAAATGCAATCAACTTGCTACAAGTCAAAGAATGAAACATTTCAGAAGCTGATCAGTAACAGCAGTGCATCTGAAATATCTTTTCCCCAATATTTTCATCTGTGAATACTTTCCAGTGACATACAAAAGCCAGCATTTTACCAGCTGTACTATAGTATGTTTTTGAATTATATCAGTTTTGTTACAGAGCCAGTTGATTATAAATGACTACTGACACATTCCAGGCAGGGTTAAGAAGAAAAAAAAAACGCTAATAAAATCCTTCCAACAGTGGAAAGATAGACACAGTTCATTGCTGGATTCCTCCCACATTTACAACAATTTATCATAAGAAATGTCTACTTAAAATTGGACTGAATTCTTTATTACTCTTCCCAAGACGAGCAATGAGTTTTTCCATAATTCACCCCACTCAGCATTTGATGTGTGCATGTAAAATGGTTGTTATTACTTATTCATTCCACAAACTACTCTGAGATCTATGAATAAGGATTATGCATTTCATAAATCATAAATACATCTATAAAAGTACTTTGCAATGATACCTGAAAATGTACGGAAGGCTGGATACTTGCACACAGTAAGTGTATTTTACACAGAACAACCTTATGTACAAGGAAAGTGTCAGTGCTCCTAAGTTTTAGCTCAGTACCTGGGAAGAAACAGTTTCATCTTCTTTGAACACCTCTAGATCGAATTTTGGTTATATGCATATAATATACAATTTCTGTATTTTTGATTTTCAAGAGGTTAGCTTTTTTGAGGTTTTTTCATTTAAATAATTAGGATATGCAGCTTCTATTCAGTTAAATAGCAATTACATATTGGCTAGTATTACTTATTGGACAAATACCACTAAAAAACACATCTTAAATCCCAACTCACATTCCTATTTTCTACTTGTTAGAATACTGCCTACAAAAATTATGTGATGATTCATATATTTCCAAATAATAATAATAATAATAATAATAATAAAAATAATAATGCAATATCAATACCATAATAAAAGTAATATAATCTAATTTTAGCAGTGGGACTTCAGTACAGAGTATTATAAGAAAAAGCTGAGGAGAAAAAGAAAAAAGCTTTGAGTTTTTATTAAAAAAATCAAACTTTCGAAGTACCTAGGTATATTTACTATCTAAAAATACTACTGAAGAATGAGATTACAAACAGGCCATAGAAGATTACAAAATTCAGATATTTGTTACGGCCATATCCCATAACTTACACCTCTTTGAGATGAAAAATAATTAGAATTTGAATAGTTTCTGCCAGGAAAAGGTTTATAAACAAAGCTTCTTCTATTTATCAGTGTCATGGCTAGTATGTTAAAGAACATTCATTAATACAAAACACGAAGGCCAAAGACTGTGATTTACACCAGAAGAAATAATACTCTATTATCTTTATGTTAGCACATTAATCTAATTCTGCTTTCAGAATTTTATTTTTAGGAGTCAAATGATAATGTTAGACATGATAATGTTGCAGAAGGTTGAATGTTGTAAAGTTGAAAAAGTTCAGAAGTTTTCATTCTGAAAGTTTGAATGGTACTGGAATCTTCATCTGAACATCACGACTATCTGCTTCTCTATTCTGTTAAGTGACACTCAAAGTACACCTGTCATGTGTAACATTTGATTTAGTTTAATTTGGTATGTCACTATCTGCAATAAATGAACATGTATGATCCAGAACTCCATTCAACAGCAGCACTCATATGAACACAACAGTCCCCAAGCTGAATATAAAAATTGAAGCTCTTCCTTTATTTCTGATTCCTGACTCAAACTTGACCTCACCAAACATGATCCATATATGCAGAATAAGTACATGGTATATTCTTTACCATAAATTATTTTCTTAGAACACACAAATATTCACAGAAAATATGCTATTGAAAGAGCTGCTAAAAGCATAAATTGAACTTCAGAGCTTTGATTCTAAACAGCAATTCATGTTTTTGAAGTAATTCATGAGAAGGAGTGAGATATATAAAATCTACCTAAGGTTTGGGTTTTTTCCTTTTCTTTTTCAAGATCAGTGTTTAAATACCTAATGTTTTCAGCCACACTAGAACATCTCTAATTAGCATATTGACTGTAAAATGATTCAGCATTTTGTTTCTTACACTCTTTGTAAGAATTCAGCAATAAAATTTCCCAGCCCGAATCCTTGCACACGTGTCGAGTATCTGTGATTTCATCTGAACTCTGCAAGGACCCTTTGACTGAATGCTGGTGAGGAACTGCTGCTTTCAAAACTAAGCATAGCTGGAATTATTCACTTTACCTTTCAGTCTCTTCAAGTACACTGGAACGTCACTCTTAATACTTTTGGAATCCTCCTCCGTTGGCTCCCATATCATTCTTGGAGGATTATTCTGTGCAAGCCAATCTGCTACTTTGCTCTCCGCAGCCATCATCACTGTCTGAAGCCCCGGCAGGTCCTGACCACTGGAGGAAGAAGGTTTCTTTGACTTGTGACGCTGTTCCGATGTGAATTTTGTCACATGATCTTTGATCTTTACTTTTCCTGGAGTGTTGTCATCAAATTCAATGGTAAAGGAAGCGTGCCCTGAAGCTGCTGTGTGAGAGCTTTGGGTATCTTTTGTGGGAATTTCATGAATAGTGCTCTCTGCTATCTGTGAAGCTTGCTGGCATTCTTTAGTAGGGATTTCAAAATAACTGGGCTCCCTACAAAAAGGATAAAGTTCTTCACTTGCAGATGCAGATCGCTCCTCAGATTGCTTGGCATCTGTGCTGCATCCTATTAGGAAAAATAAAAAAAAACAGATTTCACAATACTTGGGAACTTCAAGCTCTTCAACAAGTTTCTAAACTCCTGTAACGGCCTCTTGAGTAATTTCTGGAATAAACAGTAAGATTGTGGAGTAGACTGAGCTCTGTAGTTCTGGAAAAATAGTTCCAGAGTTACACATAGGAAGTATTAATGAAAAGGATTTTCATTAATAAAGTTTGAACTTCAGCTATGAGATGTATAAAGTGGCAAAAAGCTCATTTAGAATTTGCCAAAGTGCATGCAAAATATTTTTAGAAGATGTAAAGGTCAGATGAGTTATTTAAACATGGAAAACAGGTAAATCAAAGTGGCAAAATTGTTGAGATGATCATTAGCACAATTCCAATCTATTGGTAAAAACATCAAGTCAGGGTGCTCCCAAAACAAATGATAATGATCTTTCATCTCCCACAGTGGATAGAAAGCATAATTTTGTTCGGCAAACACTCTTCAGAAAAACAATTCACACATTAATGCAAGATAAACATTAATTCTGGCTTGAAAAGTTAAACACTGTTATGCACTGGAAAGTGTTTTGGAATGGAACCACTTTATGTTTATACAAAAGATAAAACCAAAGAATTGAGCTAAATCCTACTGTCATGTCCTCTTATTTTACTTGTTGCCTATAGTTTGTAGATGAACAGAAAAACAGCTGGAAGCACACAGAATGTTAGCAGGCCATGCTCTCACTGGCTAAAAAAAAGCTGGCTAGAGAAAGTAGAAAAAGCACGGTAGTAATTTGAAGTTCCACTGTATAGCCTAAATGAAAGCTAAAGCTTCCTGTGGTTGCTGCAAAGCTACCAATGTGGCATTAAGGAAACAAACCTGATTGCATTTTATGAACTACTAAGTCAGCCAAAATACCTGGTGCAGAGATGTACTAAAGACACAGAAGCTTGAGACCTTAATAGTAACGGCAACTTAGATTCAAGCAAAAGAATTCTGAATAGCTCTGAAGCAATTTATCTTGGACCACTCTAAGATGTTTAAGATATCATTTCATGTTACCAAATAAAGAACTGAGACTGCAACTAATTGATTTTAGGTACTGAATAAAGCTACCCTACATCAGCTGAGGAAGTTAATATTTGTGCATGAAACTGTTATGCAATAAGACAGCAGTAGAAACACTTATACTAAAGTCAGGAATTTAAGAGATAAAGGATGCATGATGGAATCATGCATCTATGCTGCTCCTTGCAAACACATGCTTCTTGAGAGGATTTATGAAAAGGTAAAAAAATTTAAAAAAAAAAAAAAAAGGTGGTGGTGTGATACAGAGAAATAAACTATTTAAAGGAAAGAATAATACCTGGAAAAGTAAAAAAAAAAAGATGCTATTGAATTAAAACAAGAACAGTATACATTCTTTATTATTGCTATGTTTGGAAATTCATTGGATAAAAGTACACCAGTGCAGCTAGCAAAGTGGTTGCAATTTATTTTTTCTACCAGTAGCTGTTACAAACACAAAACATGTTTGGAATTCACACAGGTTGTTCCATTGTGCTGTTGGATTCCAAGAACCCCCTAGCTAATGACTTTCATTGCACTATCAGCTACCTTATGTCTGTGGGGAAGTTTTCAGGTATTACAACAGCACTTCACTACTCCCCTCCCTGGGAACCAGAATGCCTTTTTAATACCCTTCCTGAAAACATTTATGCCAGCAGACACACAATACAGAATTTATCTATTTTACTGATGCAAAGGTTATTAAAAATCTTCTCTTTTTATATAGAAAATGTACAGAAATAAACAAAAGTCACACTTTGCAGGTCCTAGACTTTGGATAAACTATGATCACTCTCCATTTGTTTCATGTAGCTAACAAGCTGGAATGGATCAAACTGGCAGGATCAAATTTAGAGTTTGGATCCTTACAATATGAAACACAGTCACTGAAAAGGAAAGTAATCCACCACACAGCCAATTCACAAACAAGATTTTTTTCCCTCCATGTGCTTCTGCTCAAAACTTCAAGTCAACAACATCATGCAATTCCTGTAGCTAATAGTTAAGCCAGATATAGTGTTCAACGCTTGTTCAAAGAAGATAACTGGCTAATACTCTGTTTTGAGTAATATTTCTAAGTTTGGGCAAGGCAGGAGCAATCTGGTAGCCAGACAAGACACAGTACTTTTCAGTAATTATGAAACAGCTGGTTTATTACCATCTTTTGAAAAAAATAAGAATGTAGGCAAATTACATCAGATGTACAGCAATGTCAGGATCTCTCACACTGGTTTGTCAGAACTGATGAAGGACTTCACAAAAAATTTCTGTGTGAAACTTGCCTACACCAAATTTAACATTTCAAATCAACCGTTTATACTATAATAATATGCACAGTATTTGATTCCAATATTTTTGATTAAACAGATGCTAGTATATAGTTTGAATCTAAATTAAGACAGAGTTTAATCAAAAGAAGAATCTGAACTACAACTAAATTATAAATTTTGCTAAACTAGAAAAAGTTTTAACAATTATATAAATAAAAATATCTGAAGTATAAGTTAATCTTAATCACTTAAAAATCCTATTTTCAGTCAGAAGTACTTACATTTTTAGAAAAGTAAAATGCATCAGAATTTATTAGAATAAAAAATAGAAAAGGAAGAAGCAAAAAATTAATATAGATCCTGATCTAAACCACCCTTCAATATTTTTCTCGCAGATTCTAAATGCAAGTCCTTAGAGCTTTCAAATATTACAAAGAGTGATCTATAAAACAGCCTTACCTTTGAAATCCTATTATAAAATGTCATCTGCCAAGATGAAGGAAATCATGTATCAGACTAAATACAGACACCTTTAAGAGAAAATCTTCAAGCAAATACTGAAGGTAGTGGTTGTCACTGCTCTGTAATTTTCAAAACAGAACAAGCATAGTATATGTATAGCAAAACAGGCAATTGCAAGTTAGTTTTGGGAAAATGAAGGTATGGGTAGGTTATGAACTTCAGTCTCTTCAGGGATGAAGGCATTTCATAACTGGCAAGACTAAAAGGAAAGAGGCACAAAAAGTAGCAGGATTATCTGTAAAAAGGGAGCTCTCACTCTTCAAAGTTCCTGAGTGACAAAAGACAATGGAGCAACTGTTTCTACAAAGCAAGTGAGGAAGCAGTAATTGGTAACTGCCACCCAGGAATAGTGATACTATTGCTGAAATGAGTCTAGGAGAGGCTAGGAGGGAAACGAATATTTGGGAAACCATAGGCTTAACCAAAGGGAGATTCAGAGAGATCCTTTAGTAGGGAACATTCTTGTGAGAAATGACTGTGTTTGCTTAATATGGAGAAGAGGAAGCTCAGGTAGGATCTCATAACTCTCTACAGCCACCTGGAAGGAGCCCTTAGTGAGGTGGGGCTGGTTTCTTCTACAGCGCCTGAAGTGAGAGGACTGGAGGAAATGGCCTTAAACTGAGACAAGGGAGATTCAGATTAGACACTAGAAAAAGATTTTTTCACTGACAGGGTTGTCAGGCATTGGAATAGATTGCCCAGGGATATGGTGGAGTCACCATCCCTGGAGGTATGCAAGAGGCATCTCTATGTGGCACTGGGCGATGGCTCAGTAGTTTAAGGGTTACAGTGCTGGATGGATGGTTCAACTGGATGATCCTGAAGGTATCTTCCAACCTCAGTGATTTCTATTCTATTCTATTCTATTCTATTCTATTCTATTCTATTCTATTCTATTCTATTCTATTCTATTCTATTCTATTCTATTCTATTCTATTCTATTCTATTCCATTCTATTCTATTCCATTCCATTCTATCCTATCCTATCCTATCCTACCCTATCCTATCCTATCCTATTCTATATTCTAGTCCATTCCATTCCATTCTAGAGACGACCATCAGAAATGCAACATTCACTTTGTGACATTAGCAGAATTGATTACACTTTCTAGGACTTTCTGGGTTTTTTTAAGTCTTATTTCTAAGTTACACACACAAATAGTCAGAATCTTAACATTTTACTTGCTGACCTGGACAAGAAAAATCATAGGTTTCTGTGCCATTCAGATGTGGAAAAAACTGCATCTGTATATTAATATATCATCATCTGCAATAACAGGAAATCTCAGAAAATATTTTGCACAATCTTCAGATTTTTAGTAATGCTCTTTTCTTTCTGCCTTAAAAAAACAATTTTAAGAATGAAACTTGTAAAAGAAAATGATCTGGAATTTATGAAACACTTCCTTTAAAAAATGTCTGTAAACCTGAAGCAATGTATCTATTTGAAATAGGTATAAGAAACAGCCAAAATATCATATTCACATAATACCCCAAAATATTTTTAATGTTAGCTTTATATTTGGCACTGTGCAATGGTATGTGTAATAAAAGAAGCTGAATTTAGTGCTTTCAAATGCTTAATATAATTTTTTTCCCTTCCTCTCTGTTTTCATATTTATTCATATTCAACTTTTTATTTCCCACTTATGTTTAAGGGTTTTTTTATTTTCTTTGCAGCTGAAGAAAACTTCATTTTTTATTTAAATACAAGATTTCAATTAATACATATAATGATTCACCTAGTATTAGATATGAAGATCTTTATCTTTTAATGCTTTCATAACCAGTCTTGTGAAAAAATATCAGAATTTCTCTTTCAAAATAAAAATACAAACCAGCACTGCATATAAATCCCCATCTCTCATAATAAATAATTTCACTACCAGATTTAAAGGTGCTTAAGTGAAAAAAGGACAAAACTAATCTTACTTAAATACATTGCTGTGAGGGGTTTATAGAGTTCTGTATGCTCCCCATGACATACTGTGCATATTTGCTGCTAGAGCTTTGCAAAGCAAGCCTTATACACAGCACTTGCACATATTTCATTACAAAACTCATCTAAATTCTAGAACAAACTGCTAGGAACTTAGCTGCTTATACTGCTGATTAAGCATCACACATTACAATGTGTGTAAACTAAACACACCGATTACACTGGTATTTCTCAACTGTCAGCCTGCTTTACCTGAAAATGACAGCTTCTTAAGTGCAAGGAATGTTTAATCTGACATACTTTTATGCAATGCTGGAATTAAAATTCATGCCAAGTGTTAAGAATTACTTCAGATTCCTAAAGTCTTCTTAAAAACTTATTTCTGCCTTTTCTTAGATTTCTGGTAAATGCATTAAATGACATAAAATTCTACAACTACTACTAAGATCGGCAGAGAATGCAGTTTTTGCTTTCCCAGGAAGTGAGAGTGTAACATATGGCAGTAATAATAATTACACACCCAATAAACCTGCCAATAACATGAGCATTTAACAGCTGCAGCATAAAGTCAGGCCAGAGGTGTACGCACAACTGTTCATTTTAATACAGACTAGCAGATCTATGGGTCTTGGAACTAGAGAATTACATGTCTGAAAAATGTAGAAAGGATTTTTCTTTTCAAAGCTTTCCAGACTATTTTGCTATGTTTGTAAATAAGTTTCATTAGTGAATTTCTGTTGTGCTAGAAACGCAGTAACATTGAAATAATCTTTTTAACTTGAGACTGTAAAGACTAATTGTCTATAGTTGGCTTAACAGAAATAAATCTCCCACTTCAATCTCCTCATTAAACCTTACCCTATCTCTTAGAATTCAAATCTTCTTTTCTATGCAATAAATAATCATGTAAAAAATCTTTAAAGCATGACACAGATTTTTAATAGGATTACTCTGTTCAAATATATGTATCTGATTTTATTGATTTTAGTTTAAGAATTCACCTGTAATGTACTTACTTTTAGGCAGTTTACATTAAAAAGCATGTCCCAGATCAGTGTTTTAAACACTTAATACAATTTAACCCATGAAAGAATAATTAGCTGCACCAATCTTAAACATGTTTGATTAAAGTTTGCTTATATTTTAAAATATCCAAGAATGGCAGTCTTCTGAAGTTTCCAATTTTCTTTCATACAAGTGTATCTTTGTATTCATATCCTATTCTTATATTCATCTATATTATAAAACCTAAGTGCTTGAAGAAAATACGCAACTTGTTGAAAATAAGTTAATTTTTTCATAGAATGTAACTGTAGGCCAAAACAGGCCAAAAATCTTATGATTTTATAATTGCACGAAAACATTCAGAATGTCTTTTGCACACTTCTATACAGACACAGTGTTCTGGGACCACTGAAGTGTCCATAGAAGCAAATGTCAATTCTTTCATGGTTTGTCTTCTCAGCCTCTCTACCAACACTACTAAAAATTATCTACAACAGTCAAAAACTGTTGACTAGTAAAAAACCAGACTAGTGGAACATACAATTCTACTACATTCTACTACAAATGAGTCTACTCAGAGATTAGGTGTTCATGATAAATAAATAATTTGTCTATATACAGGATTTTAATCTCACATCCCCACAAATGGTTTTGCAAAAATGTCAGGTTTTGGATTTTTCTCAGCAGCGTCTTCCTTTCACATAAGCTTTTCTTTAGTATGTGCTTTTCCAAACTGAATTCCGTTCCTGCAGATTTATGAGTCTTCTAGTTTGAGGAAATAGAAGCTATTCTTACACTCTTGTTAGATCAATACTATTCACAGGAAATACATTCATGGATAAACAGAAGCAACAACATAAATAAAAGGGATTTATAATTTTATTTTTTTTTCTTTCAAAAAAAGGACAAAATATTGTATTCACCAAAAAGGCTTTGGGCCCAAATTTAGCTTTTGTATAGTATATATATGGAAAAAACCCAAATTTAAATAATTTAGAAAATATTAATCTATTTTCTCTATTCATCATTTACCTTGATTACCTATAATGACTCCACTAACCAAATCATGTCAAAAATATCCCCATTACTTAAGTTCAGTCTAGAACAAACTTATTTTTGTCTACTACTGAAACAGATGGCACCTAAATGATTGGTTTGAGTGATAGTTGGAATCCTATTTTTCTTGGAACTCAGGAATTAAAATAGAAGCACTGATCAGTTGCTGAAAAATCTCTTGATAAAAAAAATACAAAAGCATGTAAACCTTTTAATGCAATTTGATGCTTCTGAAAAAGCAATTTAAAATGATGAAAAATAAGAACAGGAACACTACTAAATATAAGCTGGCATCTTGTGTCACACCTTGCAAATGACATGGCATTGCATTAAAAACATGGACTTCAGCATATTATATTTTCAATAATCCTATATTTAATGAGGGAAAACTAATTTAAATGTTTTTATCTGGTTTCTTTATACTAGTCTAAATCTTAATAGACTTACTCTACTATCTGAATGATGACAACTTTAGAATAACATGAAAAAGGCCATGAAAAAAGGCTATGGTAAAAAGTTAATTCCAAAGACCTTGCTCTCACTACACTGAAGTCTTCATTTAGTTTGATTTACAGGTTTTTAGAGTTCACTCCAGCTCCTGCAAAATATGATTCATGTTAATCAAAGCAAGTACTATGACAGGAAAAGAGAAATTCTGAATTCAATTAAAGTACTTTAAGAAACTGCAAACTTAAAACTACTGGACCTTAAATGTGTGTCTAAAGAGCTAAACAAACATGGCTGAATTTTGTCCTAACTTTAATAAGTTTTCAGTTACTGTCCTCATTAGAATAGCAGTCACTTTATTTATATGCCTGACGATAGATATAAAAGCCTAATTATAGGTACTGAGATTGAAGTTCTGGCAATACATACTGTGTCTAGACAAGCTAACTAATAAAAAGGTCTGCATTACAGGGGAATAAATATTACCAGTTTAACTTATATTACACTAATTTTTACTTTAAGAATTATGACATGTAATTCCCACTAATACAGCATTATTGAATTACAGAAAGGAATGTTAGTACAGATAACCTTCCATAGCTAAAAGTCAGACACAAATATAAACCGCCACTATTTATTGTCAGAAATTACTTCAATAAAATATTCCTATGCATATAAAATGACAGATATAGATTAAACTGAAAAAGAAAAAGACGCACTGGTTCAGATAATGTTATTTGCTGTACTTACTGATAGAAAATTGTATTATATACTAGAAAACTGACATAATATATGTGAAACTGATCTCTGAAATGCATAGTTTCTCATAAAAATATATTCTTCAATTATCTTACCTTTTCATCTATGCAAACTGTGAAGCTTCCAAACATTAATATCTGTTTAGTTCCCTAGTTAATAATATATGCAGTTCAATAAAGAGAAGAAAAAAAAACAAGACAACACACTTACCTGAAGCCCCTGTCTCAGGCATTTTTTCTTCGTGCTTGCCATCTGGCTTACAACCACCTTTTTCATCAGCTTCATCTTCACCCCACCAGGCTGGCTGTCCATACAACGGTGTCCCACGAGGCATGGCAGAAATATCTATAAAGTCAGCCCAAAGCAGAGAAAATAACTTTTCTGTTTAGCTGTGATATTAGGTTAAAATCACATGAAGAGAAAGTAATTTGCTTGGGTCATTTCTCCTGGACGCTGAAGTGAAATGGTTGCATGCATTTGCCTAAATACAAAACAAACTTGGAGGCCAGACAACTGATCTGGGTTCTAAATATAAAAGCTTACTAATGACCTAATCAAAACTTCTGGCACAAATGTTTATGCAAAGGCAGCTGGCATTTCTTATTGTTACCCTGATATATCTGTAAATATTATTTCTTCTTTCAGTTTGAAGTCATCAAGATAGCAGTACATTCCTAAAAGCTGTTTGTTGCTATTTCTGTGAAAAGATTCTCATTCTTACCCACACTGACCTTTCAATGAAATATGAACTCACTGCATGAAAAACTGATCAAATTTTGCAATGTTGCCAAGGTTCCAAATTGCTGACAGCTACTACAGAGTGCTGAGTTACCTTGTGTGTAAAACATTACTGAGCACAATCAATTTTACAGGGGTTTTTTCAAAGGTGTTAGTTAAATCATAGTACAACTAAAAGTGCTATACACATGGTTAAATATATTTAAATGCAAAAATTAAGAAAAAAAACACTGATATAATTAAGATTTCTAACTTGATGATAAATGTGCTGGGTTAGGTTTGATCTCATCTTTTGGAAAAATATCTTACCCTACAGAGATTTAGCTATTCTAGTGTCATATGTTCTGAATATATTTTAAGGAGTTCTTACATAAAAAACCATCATCTGATAAAATCTATCTTAGGAGCTTGTCTGTTACTTTATCCACTAGGAATAAAACACAGTCTTATGCCTTAGTCAATACTAAGCTGTTTTTAAACACTTGATGGTCACACAGAGAATTTGTGGATGCCCCATCCCTGAAGTGTTACAGAACGGGTTGGATGAGGCTTTGAGCAACCTGGTCTGGTAAAAGGTGTCCCTGACCATGGCAAGGAGGTGCAACCTAAATGATGTTTAAACTCTGTTCCAACCCAAACCATTCCATAATTCTATTCCTGTGCACTGAATTAGCAACAGTGAACAGATATTCATTTATATAGCAACAGTGAGAGAATCAATCCCCATAAAGCTTCTGAGAGTTGCACTTAAATATAAATCCCTATCCTTGACGGTTATTTTTGGAGGAGTGAAAAGAAAAACAGAAGATGAGGATAAAACCCCTGCACTGTGCTACTTTATGTACTCTTAACAAGATGCTGGATTAGACAACAAAACAAACAGGTTAATTAAGTGCATCACAGAATCCTGTATGTGTGGAAGGACAAGAGTTCTTTCAAGTGACTCTTCTGGAAGAATAGATGAAACCTAAACAAATCTGTAGAGCCCTGACCTAAGGAAATCAGACCCAGAGAGTTCCATATTAACGGAACAATAATACCTGATCCCTTTCTCATTCTTTTGGTTATCTCCACTACACTTCAGCAATCCTCATGCTGAAGCTCATCAGAGAATCAGAGAACGGTTTGGGTTGGAAGGGACCTGCCATGGGCAGGAACACCTTTTGCCAGATTAGTTTGCTCAAAGCCTTAAACACTTCCATGACGAGATATCCACAAACTTTCTGGACAACCTGTTTAAGTGGTTCACTACTCTCACAGTAAAAAATTTCTTCCTGACATGTAAACAAAATCTCTCCCCTCTCATTTAAAAACCATTGCACCTAGTCTTTTATCACTACTTGCCTGAGTAAAATATGCTCTCCCTCTTTTTTTACCAGCTCCCTTTAGGTACTGAAAGGCTGCCATGAGGCTCTCCCTGGAGCCTTTTCTTCTCTAGGCTGAACAACTCCATCTCGCAGCCTGTCTGCTCCAACCCTTTGCTCATCTTTTTGGCCCTCCTCTGGCCTCACTCCAACAGATACAAATCCATCCCATACTGGGGGCCCAGAACTGGGTGCAGTACAACCCACACAAAGTTTTAAGACAACCACAGCAGAGCCACCATGACACATTAAATAAATATGAACAATGGCGTAGAAACGAGTCTGAAACCACAGTATCTACAAATCTTTAAACCACAATAGAACACTTAGGTTATATCCTGACACAGGAATCATTGAATGCTAGGAACTACCAAGCAAACAAACAAAACTCCCACCCACTAATAAGGGAAAAAACCCCAAACCAACCAAAGGAAAAATAGTGCACTTGGTAATGGTGATGCTAAAAAATACAAACTGTTTCTTAACAAATACTTACACTCAAACTACAGCAATATAGCAATATCCTGTCACAAATGCTTCAAGTCTGTGATTTGGGAAAAGGGACATGCAAAAATCTTATAATTGCTGATTCAATCTCTCTTTAAAAGTTTTCTTAACATGTGGATGTTACTGTAAAAAAGGTAGAAATTAAATGCCAAAAATAATTATTTACACCTAAGCTATGGTTAAATGTTCATATATTGAAATTTTTACTGTCTACAGAATTTCACAATCATCGTACTGAAGCAAATTAACATCCTTTCCAAGTTTTGTGCTTCTGCAACAAAAAAAATGAACCTTACCCACTGATTTTTCTTCAGATTTCAGTGCTTCTGTAGTTTTGTGGTGCACTTCAGCTGTGGAGTCTGTTACCTTGGACTCTGAACTTTTGGAGCTGCTTTGTTTCGATCCTTCTGCCTCTGAAGATTTTTGGGATAACTGGAGCTGGCTTGTGAATTTTTCATGCTACATGACATTAAATAGAGAAAAAACCACAAACCCTCAAAGACTGGGATAAAATCCGAAACCTCTGTTATAATAACACTACAGTGGCAAAAAAACATCCAGGAACTGGACATTGTTACCTTAAGTGCTTCTTCAGGGACTCTCATCTCTCCCCTGACCACAGTAAAAAGATTAGTATGTAGGAAATTATAAGGAAAATACTGAAAATACTCTGAATTAGCAAGAAGCTTTTAGAGAAAAGCAAAAATTGTGCAGTGTATTACGCCACTAGAAAGGTGACAGCTTTCAAAATATGTCACTGTTAGGATATTGTGCACTATCATACTCATCAAAGCAAATGAATTTATTTACTATTTGTAAACAGAACATTGAGTAGATACCTTGGTGTTTTACTAATGCAAGTAATTTTTTTTTCATTCAGTTGTTTGCTGAGTAATTAACTGTAATATAATCTGCTGGTGTACAACTGCATATGATACAAATATTTGTGTATTTGCCTCAGAGAAAAGTAGTACTTTTGAGTAACACAAAAGATACACATTACGTTCTAAATTGTAAGTGGATGTTAAGGTTTCTTGCAGTGAGAGACAACGAAATGTACTTTATCAGTACTTCAGACCAAGGTAGAATATCCTAAACCCTGAGATTTTTGCTAATATAGGCATTTTTGCAGCAATGAGAACACTTAACACAACCATACTTCTAACAAGACAAGTGTGTCCCAACACTGTATTTTTATGACAAGGATATCATATCCAAATCTCAATTTATCTTCTAACTTCAAAGTGATGTATGTCTGTTCTGGAATCCTCACATCATTCACAAATGTCTGCAGAAACAAATGAGGACAGAAAGAAATACCATTAAATTCCAAAACAATAAAATTAAATAATTTAAATAACTTTGTAAGAAAGTCTTCAGTACCACGAATTTTCTACTGGTGATTCACAAGGAAACTATAAGCTCAAATTGCTAGCTGTTTAATGAACAGGAAGGTAAAGAAAAAAAGGAAGGTTAAACACCAGTTGTTAACCAAGTTGCACACTGGCCTCGAAAAATTCCTTGCATATTTAATCTTGTTAGCAATATTCATGGATTGTTGATTAATGTTCCCTTGAATTAGCACCTCCATTTTCTATTTTTCTTGTAACTTGCTTTTTCAATCCAAGTTAACCGCCAGAATTGATTTATCAGCATATTTGTACAGCATTTAGCATTAGATATGAGAGTTCTGAGGCAGCTTATTTCTAACCATTGTCAAAGGACTTCAGGAAAACATGGACCAAGTTAGTGCATTTGAGTAACACCAAAAATCAGTGGTAAGAATTCAGTATATTGCAGCCCTACAGGATCATCCTACTTCTAACTTAAAACTTCTACAACATGTACATGTTTCTAAAGAAAGAAACAGTTGAAATATGCCATTTTATAAGTGCCCTGAAGTTGGAAAAACTTGAATAATTAAATAAGTCAAAAATCTGAATATTCAAATGATAGTGTTGCTCATGAGTCTAGTATTAAATGAACTGTGGTTAGAGAGAAACAATCTCCTTCCCCATAATAGTAAGAGGATCTTCTATTTAATTTTCTTTTCCTAAAGAAAAATAATGTTTATTTCATTATTTAAAAAAATTGTTTATCTGCTTTGTAGAAAGTACCTTCCATGGGAAATAAGAATAAAACAACTATTTACAGGTTTGTAAGCATGAAACTCAAATTTGTTTCCCTTTAACATTTTGAGAGTCCAGGGCAAAAACCTCTGTGAAGACTATCCTCAAAGCCCTCTGAATTCTACTGAACCAACAGAATTCAGGCCACTTTGCAGACATGTATGTATATATGAATGTACACATTTTTCTTCCCAAGTCAGAGTTCTGAAATTCATGTGCATGCACAGCATACACAATGCAGACAGCTCCAAAGGCTGTGCGTGCAGTCTACTGACAGCCTCATGTTCATGACTAAAGTGACAGCATAAAACAACCAAGTTTTAGTTACTTTGCAACTGGGGCTTTAAAATCTCATCACATGCTTTGGGATGCAAGACAAAGCTAACTTGAAAAAGCCACTTACTATGTAAATAAGGAATCCTTTGCCCCTTTAGATCATTCCATTCACATGATTTCTAAAGTTTATTCTTCAAATAGTGAGAGTCAACTGTCTTTAAGCCTTCATAAAGTTTGCTACACTTTTCACAACCCAGTCCTGAAATATCAGTGTGAAAGGACTTTGCAATCCTGTAAATATCCCTGAGAAGAACGTTGTTCAACAAAGCCATAGATTATTAATACATCTTGTGGTATGTTTTTGACTTCACGAGTCAAAGGAGAAAGTTGAATTCTACTGATACTAGGGAAATAATAATTACATACTAGCAACTGCACATGTTTACTTCAGAAAAAAGAAATGCCTTCATTTTTTTTGTATAGGGAAAAAAAAAAAGAAAAATAGGACTGTCCAGAATGAGTCACAACAGACTATCAGAAATAAAATTTTACTTCATGTAAAACTGATTAAAATTTAGTTTTGATTTTTTTTCCCAAATCTAGATGTCTGGGATAAAGACTTCTAGATTTAGAAGTCCAGGAAAAAGACTCCTGTAACCTTTTCACTGAACTGAGCGTAAATCAACCATATATATAAGAATATTCAGGCATTAGGGCATCAGGTGCAATTACAGTTCAGCTTGTGAGATTATAACACTCATAACTCAAAACCAAAGTATTGGAATTAGCCATCTCCCCTTAAACTCTGACCTTGAGTGGTTGAAGTGCATTACACCAGTAGCTTTGCATACCAGAAGTATGTATCTGTTCTCAAAAGAGATGGGACCAACTGGAGAGATGCAAAACAAATCTTTTGACGAAGTATGCAAAATAAGAAAGGGTAGAAGCTGCTGAAGCACTAGAAGAGGCACTTGGTTGCTAGGGAGTGGTGTTCTCAGTGGAAACAGAGGCTAGACTAGAAGAATTATTACCTAGTTCACCATATGGTACTGAGGCATTGTTCTGCCACACAATTAAGTATGGCATTACAATCATAATGTGTTTTCTCCATTAACCTGAAACCAGGCAATCAGATGTATGGAAGAAAAGCACAGTGGGAAAGTGATAGTAAGGAAAACATTGTGAAGACAAAGAGCAAGGACTGAACTCCTGAGACTTAATATTCCTTGTCCCAAAACAGTGGGAAGAAAAGAGTTCCTTTGATGTCTCTGAGTAAACAGCTCTAAAGCAACTGAAGCTTCACCTCAAACCTGAGAATTAATTAGATCAAGTGAAGCAAGTCACTGAAAGCTCTTTATCAGAGGCAAAAAAGGAGTTGAATGAAGGCCTTTTAATATATATTTCTATTAAATTCCAGTTTTGTGACAAGGGAAGGAAAATCTGAAGGTTTTCCCACTGACTGTAGGAGTTACAGAGCTAGGGAATAAAATCAAATGTCTCAGCAAAAAAATTCTATGTGCTGAACTTATTTTTCATCACTGCCTTGAAACAGCACACCGACTTTGAAAATACAGAGGTATATTAAATATTTAAGGACCAAAGTCCTTGTATGTCTACAGCTGTTCAAAGGATATAGCCATTTAGTGGTTTCAAGTGGAGTTGAAACCCATTCTTTGGAAGGATGAGTTAGTTACCTTAAAACTTAAAATGAGTTAGTTACAGAAAAGCTAATAGCGACAGTGACAGTTTTATTTCGAAAATGCACTTCAAGATCAAAAGGCAGTAACTTGGAAGTTCTTCTTCATCTTCTATTTATTTAAGCACTTGACAAAACTATTCACTATCAGTAGCTTTTTAAGTATTATTCACATAAGCAGTCACAGATGAACTCATGATTTTATTCTGTACATATTTACATATTTATTCTGTACATATGTACATAGCCAAACATTTAAAGCTATAAAATAGCAACCATAACTAGTGCAAATACACAATTCATACAGTAACATTATGACAAAGTTACTATGTTTTTAATAATTTGGTATAATATAAAAAACTTTTATAAAAGTGATGCTTAGCTAGATTTCTGAATATGCAATTCCTAGAAAAGCCTTAGAACATAAAATGTCATAAGAAACTACTTTTCCAATAACTTTGGATTTTTTCTGTATTAGTTTGCAATTCCTTGACACAAATTATTCATAGAGATTTTAATAAAAATTATTCTGAAAACCTAAATGCAAATATATTATCAGTTAAATAGATTTTCATACAACATGGTTATTGCATAATTATGTTCTGAGCTTTTCCTACTGCAAAGGCCCTCTTATTACTGGAATTCATCACAGCACTTTAAAAAATATGCAGTGGAAAACCCCTGCAAAGGCTACACTTTCCTTTTGAATGTTCCCCCACTTCCAGTCTTGCATCAAAAAGGTATTCATGTACAATTAATAATGGCTTGAAGAAATCCCAAAACAAAGATACAGAACACAATGGGGAACTATCTTTTTCTGATGTTAACTTACCCCATTCAAGCTGCCCAAATCCTTCACCAAGTGCTCATCTGTAGAGGCATCATAGTTGAGTACAGCATGTTGCTTGTCCACACTCCGTGACTAAAATATATTAAATAAAATAAGGTATTTGAAAACCACATGAAGCGGTTATGGGTATTTCTTAGAGCAGTGTGATTATTTTCTAATTGCACATTTATTCAAATTATATAAAAAGAGAATTATATAAAAAAGTTCCACATATGAAAAAGACAATCTCTAACCCAACTCAAGGTACCCCATAGCAGAATCTTAAAATTATAAAAAATAAATATTTTCTTAATGCTTCCTTAAATATGCTAAGTCAGATCCACATATATCTTACCCAAAAGTTTGGTTTTTTTCAGTCCACTCTAGTATCACTGATGTTTAATCTAGTATCATCAACTCCACTTTATTTCTTACTCTCTCTCTCTCCCCCAGTAATTACATTATCTTTCAAAACATGACAATGATTTTGGGGTGTTGCTGCTCTCTCTCAAAACACACCATTTCCAGTCACGCATCTGGGATAATTACCACAGTAGACAAGCATTCAAAGTGTTTCTCCTTGATCTCAATTTCCTGAACCAATTAGCTATAGCTCTTCGCTAAATGTCTGAGCAGTTCCTGAATCACTATTCATCAGTTCTGACTTTCTCAGTCCTTCTTTAAGCACTTCAGTATCCATTTATTTATTTAATGAATTCTTTATTTCACATCCAAACGTCACCACACAGATGAGAAACAATCCTTGCTACTATTTCATCCAAGAACAGCAGTTCCCTAACAGCCAAACCCCTCTTTCAGCACTCACTCCTGCCAAGTGTTTGCAGCCTGAGGTGCTGATGGCAAGCAAGGGAGGTGGGGCTGGGTGTGTCTCCTTCATGCATGCATATGGTCAGCACCTGGACATCTTCAAGAGTTCCCAAGGGAATGGAGACCACAGCTCATCTTCTCCATCAGCCCACACTCAACCTTATGTTTGCCAGTAATTTTGCTAGTGCACTGTCACAACATGACTGCATAGTAGCAAATTCCTTCCACCAGCATTCTTCCTAATTTCAGGTTTGCATCTTCTATCCTTGCTACACAAGTCATTTTTCAGGACTGTATTGCACAGAGAATGGTACACTTCCGTCTGAGAGTTCCGTGACTTCTGTGTACCAGCATATGTGGTCTGTCAGTTCTACGAGTCCTGCCCTACCAAGGGCACTGCCAGTTCAAGGCATCAGCACACACAGCTAGTACTCCTAAGGAAAGGTTTTCTCTTATTGCAATCCCATAGATATCACCTCACATCTCCTCCATTTCTTGAGCCTTGCTACTATTATTTTCCTTATTTTCAATTTACTTTCTGATTTTTCCTTTCCACTTAATCTTATGACTGCTTTGCTTTCTCCCCAAAGAAGTGAGATCAGTGTTCTTTAGCTTATACTTACTGTTTTATTTTTAGACTTTTTATTTTGCTCTTCATTTTTGAGGGGTATAATGGGAGGGGCCAGGTCAAAGTGGAGAATAAGGAAGAGACAGACAAATGAACAAGTTTCCTGCCAATATAAACTGCACTAATATAGTACATCAGTTAAGCGTTTTTAATGGCAGATGAAGACACAGGAACACGGTTCATGTTCTATTAACTTAGTAACCTTCCAAGTGAAAGCAATCTCAATACAATGAAATTCATTGATGTGCACCTTCTGCTGAGCCTACAATATCAAGCGCTGATTACATTTTTCCGCACTCAAGTGGAACCACCGTACCAAGACTTACCCGATTTTTACCTAAGCTATTGAAAAAAAATCTCAATGTTGTTATTTAAATACATACTGTATTAGTAAAAAATTATTTAATTATTTTTATGTGCTACATCCTATTAAAAATAAGTTAAACCATAAAGGACATGAAAAGATCCTCAAAGCTTTATGATACTGTGCCGCATCATCTGAAATGCTAAGATTGATTACTCAAGTCTGTGCCTTTTACAGACACACTTGAAATTCTGCAGAAGATTGTAGTTCTCCTCAGGTTCAGATTACTTGCATAAAATTAGACTTTTTATTAATTTCAGCTGATCTTTACAGGTGCAAAGACTGTGCAAGTCTTTTGAATGCCTTTTTTCCTTTGGCTTTGTTATTGCAGCCTTCCATTCAAGCTTAAGGGCTTTTAAAATTCCTTCTTGTAATACTGCCTGGCTGGCAGCTAAACGCCACACAGTGCTGCTCACTCACCCTCCACTGCCCCAGCGGGATGTGGGATAGAACAGGAAGAGCAAAAGGAAAGAACTCATGGGTCAAGTTTCAGCAGCAAAGAGGAAGAAGGAAGAAGAAGTAAAACAAATCAAGTGATGAGAAGGCAATCACTTCCCACCTCCCACAAGCAGCCCAATGCCCAGATAGCCTTTGAGCAGTGGGTATCTTCCCAAAAGCCCCTCCCTCAGTTTTCATTGCCAAGCATAACACATTTTATGTCACAGAGTCAGTTTGGGTCAGCTGTCCTGGCTGTGTTCCCTCTTCACATTTTGTGCACACTCCCAGTTGTCAAGATTCAAAAAAATTTCTAACCATAAAGGTGAAAAAAGGGGAAAATGCAGTATGTATCCACAAACAGGCTGATGCAATAGAGCAGCTAACTAAACAGGACGACTTCACATTATGTTTGAACATATTTACAAAAAAAGGAAAATCTGTATTCCCAGGTGCAAACAAAACCTCTTAGAACAAGAGTGTTAGGTAGAGATCTGAGGTCTATCAAGCATGAAAAATAGTCAAAATTCTTTTCATTAAGGCCTTTATAACGTGTTTTTTGTCAAGCAATTATGAATAAAAGCATTAAGTTCTGCTTTCTTATCATGCATTGTCCACATGCTTTGCAGTGAGAGAACAACTAAGTTGTCAAGAGTGGAAAGGAAGGTCTTGCACAAAGAGCTATACATATAGAACAAGAACACATTATTAGCTTCTCTACTGGTGGGTTCCTCCCCCTGCAGCACTATGTGGTATTACAGTCATGCTGGCATGTAGACCTAACATAGCAGCATGCTAAAAAGAATATTCTTGAAAATCACAAGGCCCCTTGATGTTGTTCACTAACTCTGAACTAAATACACAACAAATAATGTTTGTATATATGTCATATCTATTCACAGCATTAATCAAAGAGGCAGCTGCCTTTGAAGGTGAAGTTTTGTAACAAAAAGAATAAATGCTTCACTTTAAGGACTGACCTACTATGGATGGCATAGCAGAGAAGAAAGAAGACACTCCCATATTTACAGAAAACAGTCCTCTAAAACAAGTTACTAGTAAAATAAAAGCATTTTTGGATTATAACCTACTGGGCAGGAACCAGTGTGGTGGGGCTTTTTGATAGCTTTTCTTTTGCTGTTGTTTCATCTGTGTGCATGTTGTTTGGGGTTTTTCAAACACTTCCCACATAAATTACCAAGGCATCATTCCATCTGCTGTTAAAGAGAAATTAAAGAGTATTTTCAACTGCTTTCTAACATCATCAATAAAGTATCCGAATGCCTTCTGAGACTGAGAGCCAAATGTAGTTTACTAGAGATACTACATTCTGAGTAATAAATGCAGGATTGCATCTCTAAGCACTTCATTTGCAAGTAAGATTCTAATTTGGCCAATAATGGCTGCATATACAACTTTTGGGAACAAAAACTCCAAAACATTTTACTGAATGGTAGGAAGGGTTTAGAATATTAGTTTTGAAGTTCAATCTTCTTAACAGCTCTACAGTAAATGCCCAAAAATTTAGAAAGAAACTCCCAAAATACTACCATTAGTCATTAAAAAAAAAAAAAAAAGAGAAAAAACAGCTCAGAGGACTACAGCTTTGACAGGGCAAAGTGCATGCAATATGGCTACATAACCACACAGCTACACACATCTAAGAGTCCACAGAGTGATCCTCAAAGTTGAGGAAGTTACTGAAGGATGGAGCTATTTTGACTTGTATATTTTCAATTCTACTGAAACTGAGTCATTCAACTTCCTCAAAGATAGAGAAATACTCTTGTCTACTAATTTCATTTTCCTTTGTACAACACAATCAGGGCATGGGGAGAGAGTTACATCAAATCATGTGACTAAATTAGATTACAAGCTGCCAAAAAAAGAAGGCTCCTTTCAAAAGCATCTAGCTCTCTTAACATTATCACATTTTATGGAACACAGTCTACTTACTTTACTGTATCATATACTGTTATAAATACAAAATTTATTTCATCTTCTATCCTTGCATTCTGCATTTGACTTATACTAAGAAAATGTGATTCTCTGTACTTAAGCAGTAACTGCATGATTGACAGCAATACATTTAAATTATTTTTTTTTTCCCTAAGGACACAAAAGATTCTTCAAAACTATTGCTCTCCCAGCATCTGGGGAATTTATTTTTCAAAAGGAATGCATGAAGCTGGTGCATTAAGTTCACAATGTGAGGAGCTGCACATGGAAGGAATTACCTGTAACATCAGCTCACAGTCATCTCTTCCAACAAAAATCATTTCTCGTGGCAGCCTATGTCGGGTGCCTCCACTGCTCACCAAAAACCAGGATGTTAAGCTCATTTTCTGCTTAGCTGATAAATCCTTGGCAAAGCTACGTCATCCTGCAGTGAGAAAGAAAGAGAGACAGAGAAATTCTTTTTAGTTATTTTTAGCTACAGTTTCTGCTCAGCCAACACTGTGAGCAGAATACAAAAAGCCTCTGAAAATACAGCATTCTCAATAGCATGTACTGAATCCAACAACCACAGGAAGCGACAGGCGTCAGATTTACATACTCTTGGGCTATTCCTCATGCAACCAGGCAGATTTAACTGGTAACCTGCAAAAGGAACAAACAGCTAGCTAATGCCAAAGTTGTCAAGTTGTCAGAAAGCTTTTAGCATTTGGCCACTTATTATCAAGATAATTAGTACAATAATGCTTCACTATCACAACCAACAAATAAACAATGTAGCAAACATTCACAAAATATGGCAAGTAATTCGAACTGTCATTACATTTTCCTGTGAAAAAGAATTACCTTGTCTGATTTTAAGCTCAAGTCAAGCTGTACAGCACCAAATCAAAGGAGCTATAAATTAATGGAACTTTTGCTTCTTATTTAATCTTGGCTTTTCATGATAAAACATGTATATTGGAAATTTAACAGTGTGCATTTAATATTGCAAACAAAGCAGAGCAAAATGAAAAAATTAAACGTTATCTGTAAGTATTAAATCCAAAATAAGTATTCCTACAGAACTTTACCTTTATCAATAAAAGGTACAACATATTCCATAAAACAGAAGAAAAAAACCCATAGCTATTTAAAGTATCATAAAACTGGATAAAATAATTCATAGAAAACTTCTTCACATAATATGACTTGAAATCAAACAAAAATATGACTAAATTTCTCTGCAGAGGAATTCAATGGCTAACAGTTGAAAAAAGCTTTATGAGAATTCCAAATCTCTCTTAAAGAAAATGCAAGCCAAAGCAATTATTTCATTAATTCACAACTGCACTGTATTCATTAAAAGAGAAGCTGAAGAAAATCAAAAACAACCAGCCAACTTTTCCCTCTGTACCAAATAGCAGGCATTTCTTTTCTCTTCTCTTCTATTTATATGTCAATTAGTGAATTTCTGCAAGGTTAGCAAATGTACTGTAAGTACTGTAAGTAGACATAAGTCTGTAGTGGACCAGAGCATACTCTTGAATAATACCAAGAATTCAGTGAGGTCCTCTGAAGGAGAGCTAACATGGAAACACTGAATAAAATGACAATGCAAGCACTATGCCATCAGACAAACTACAATCAAGGAGACACCACAAATCACTAAACATATAAAGATAACAAAGTTGAAGTCAAAACTGCATGTGACATGACAAAGATGATTTTTACAGAAGAGCTAGTCAAAAGCATCCCATTTCAGTGGTAGTATGTACCAGCAGAGCTCTCAATTGTTTAAAAAATGTAATGCAATTCACATGGAGGAATTTAGAATGACTTCATGTGCTAAAGAGCTACTGAATAAAGAAGTAAATATGTTTTGCAGCAGTATTCTATAGCAATACTTACAATAGAATTATCTTTCCACAGCTGTATCACAACACATTCAAGTGAAAGTATGTCCACTTAATGTTATCTGACTCAACAGAATATAGCATCTCTAATATATTTTTTCCTAGAAACTAAAAAGATTTAAAAATACATCATGACATCTACAGTAAGAACTTGCTGAAATAAAATTTAAAGTGATGTAGTTACTTAAATATGTGTTTTAATAATTAAAATGGATTATTCAGCACCTTTGAAGGAAATTAATATTTTTATTTTAAATTTAATCTAGTTTAAAATTACAAGATAAACTGGGTCAATCAAATGACATTTTTCAGTTCCCTTTAAGAGAGAAAAAGGAAGTGTCACAAACGGCCAGCCCACATTAAAGCCTTTAACAAGTAAATTAACTGGATGTTTGACAGCAAGCATGCTGATCAGTATCAAAGCTCCTCATTCTGTTTATATTTTACTGCCTTTTAAAATATCCCATCTGTTTATCAAAATTACATTTGCACCATTTGGCCTTCCTGCTCCAATTGGAAATTCATATGAAATGAATTATATATATATATATATATATATATATGAAATATATCCAAAATTATATAGAAAAAATTAGAAAATTGGAAAAATTTCTTAGTAAGAACCAGGTTGTAGTTTACACAGGAACCCTGACTGTAAAAGAGGAAAACTATTTTTATTTACAAAACAGACAAGTAGGTCAGGAAAAAAACCAACACTCCAAACTTCCTGCAAATGATAAAGCCTGACAACAAACAGATTAAATTAAGCTACCTGAAATAATTTTTAAAAATGTATTATACAAAGGAATCGCTGCCACACAGCTTGGCGGCTTGTTTGTAGTTAAATGTCCATCACCAGTTCTATCAAACTTAATAATGTTGTTCTTTTGAAACAGTTGCTGTCTCAACTGCAAGAAACCATCAACCTAGATACATATTTTATTTTAAAGTATTCTATAGAATAAACCAATGCCTTTGATCAGGACTATGCTGGAATCTGCATAGCAAAACTGGCTAAAAACAGGATCCAGCAGCAATAGTTGCTTAATATCACAACAAAAAAAGTGCATTAAAAACTGGATATGGAACTGCACACTTATTAGTAGTATAGTCAGTATGTGGACACTTACATTGAACCCCAAAAACTTCATGAAAGCTTGCAATATTTTGAATACACTGCTGTCTCAAGTACTCTGGCTGTACTTCTGAACAGTACAAGGATGAAAGACACTTCACTCCCTAGGAGATACCAAATTAAATTACTATATGACAGGTGCAAAATCATCACAGGAAATGGCTCTTTACGGAGTGTAAATTTAGGTCATGATAATTCTTGCAATGAAATGTTATGGATACTAAAAGGTTACACAGGGTTCAAAAAGCAATTTTTTTCTTTTATGAATGGTTATTATCAATCCTGTTACATGCACTGACACCACTTACAGATCAGGAAGTGGATGCACTGTGCATTTTAAGGGGCTGGAAGGATGCTCCAGTGAGGTTTCACTGTCCTACCCCAAAACCTCTTCTTTACCTAGCCTTTCTTCATCCATGACAGGATATCATCCCAGATGGACCTGGTAAAAGTATAATACAGACTATACTTTTCAGACAAAGTATTTACCAAAAATATTTCTACCCTAGAAAAAAAAGAATTTTAAATGTTTTATTGAAGCATTTGGTTTTATTAGTATTTCTTAAAATGGCAGCATTGTGTTGGAGTCTTTAACCAAACTAGCAAACATTTCATCAAGACTTTATCATTCAAAGCTTCATTCCAGATACCTGCAAGTCAGTGGCTGAGACATCTATGGCAGCTGCAAAATATCTCTGTCTGCAGAAGAAACAGCATTTTATGGTGAAGGACTACAACTTTCAAAAGGCAGTAACTAGCGTGTCGGAATGAATATGCGGGTAATAAGTCATTTGAAACAGATGATGCAGCAACAGGGAAATTGGCTGCATCATCTGTATAAATATCCTTCACTCCTAAGAACTAAGATCCTGTATTATGCAGCCAAAAGATGGGTGTAACCAGTTTCGAATGTCTAAAGAAACACTGCCAAAATTAGTTTTGACACAGACATGTTATTGCAAATAAAAATCCTTAATAATCTCAAATTTGAGCATTTTACAATCTACATTTTTGTACTTGCCTGTAACTCAAAACAGCTCCAGTTAAAGTTAGTGAATACTGAGGCAACAATCCTACAGAGAAACAAAAAGCTATGCTTAAAATTTAAATTAAGCCTAATATATGTCTGAAATTCCAACTTTTAAGCACCGTAGTCCTCCACATTAAGACTGAAAATAGTGTAATTTTAATGGTATACAATTATCCTATTACTGTACAACAAATTATACTTGTGAGTATTTTAAAGCAACATTAAAAAGAGCCCTGCACCAATCTGAGACACAGTACTGACAACACCAGAAGCCCTGTTTTGCCCATTATCTGCCCTTACAAGTTCCTGTTTCCAGCTGCTAAAGTATTTGCTAAAATTAAGTTGACCTTCTTGTAAAGTTGACTAGGAAATTTGGGGAAATTTCTGAAGAAATGACTGTAATATTTCTAAAGCAAGGTTAGAGCAGAATATTCTATGTCACTACCTTTAAAAAAATATTAGCTGTACCTCATACGTCCAAATTGTTATTGAAATACGGTAGGAGGCCTGAGTATCACTTTGTACCTCGTATTACTGCTCTTGTACAAACCCATCCAAATGGACAAAAACAAGCAAGAGACCTTTGAAAACCTTCCTCATGTATATTCATTCAACAAGGACAAGGATAAATTCTCTCAATACATCTGTCTACACAGAGGTACTTAAATAAATTTGTGGAGCATGCTGCTTTAGTATTAGAGTGCCAGTTAGAACCTAAAATAAGGCATCTTTTTCACAGACACAGAAGAGACCACCACACAAGTACAAGACACTCGAACTGGACCTAGACAGATTCTGGAATCAGGACTCAAGAAAGGTAAAAGTCAGAAGTCAGCCATGACAAGGGATAAATCACAAATGAGAGCGGTGATAGAGCCAATAATGACTGGAGAAGAACTGAAGTTGAAGCTGGTAACTAAATCACAAAGAAATGGTCTCAGCAAACAACACCCACTGGAGAAGCAATGCCAGCAGTTCTAACTTTGACTGAAATGGAAAAATCTATGCCAAAGGAAGAAAAGACCAAACTGAAGGTAACTTCAACCCTGAGAAGATTATTGTATCCATATAATTGATACTAAAAAGTAATCTATAAAGATAATTGATTTAAACCTAGGAAGTTTTAAGTGGTAAACAGCACAGTAATATTGTCTACTCTGCATAACCCTCTGAAGTGGGGTAGTGTAGCAGACAAAGTGTTCCATGGGCAATCATAATTAACCTACTTACATACATGCATTAGAAAACAACCTTTAACTACATCACCACATATTTTAATCAGGACTCTACCGTACTCAGGTTAAAACAAAGAGCTTAACTGTCAGTTAATCAGTGTTCTTTTTCCTGTACTCATCATTTGATTAGCC